AGCGGTTCTGAGGTGCACGGAAGTGTCCAGGGGTCCTCAGCCTGACTGGCTCTCATTGTTATTTGCCTTCCTGCCAGATTTTCCCGCCAGTAATCCTGGATCATACAGGCCCTTGGCTTGGAGAGCCCCCCGCCCTCCCTACCTGCTAAAAACCGCTCAGGCTCAGTCAGATGCTGCAGCTTCCCTGAATCATCCTGTAGCTTTAACACCTGGAGTTACTTCCTAGGACTCACTGAGCCTTGACAGTGCTCCCTGACCGTTTCCAGCTCCGTGGTCTTGGGCCAGTGACTTAGCTTCTCAAGCCTTTACAACAAGCAAAACAGTACCAGTCTCAAGGGGCGTCATGAAGTTCTGTGAGTAGCATGCGCCCCAGAGCGAAGCAGTCCGTGCCCTGCAGTTGGTCACGTGCTGTCAACCGCACCCTACGTTCTCTACACAGCTGTGGAAGCTGCATGGTGCGGGGAGAGGGTGCCTTGGGGAGGGCAAACTTCAGTGTGACTTTGGGTCGGATACCCTCACCGAGCCTTAGCTCCCTGGGCTCTGAACGGCGTTCTGTGAAGCTGGCTAACGTGTGCTCTTTGCCTGTTGGGTGTCAGCACACAGTAGGCCCTCGGCTAGTGGTGTGGGTTGCTCAGGTGAGGGAGATCAGTCACATTCTTGCTTTATAAAGGTGAAGTCATTTGACGGGTGTAAATAGCTGCCTGTGGCCAGCTCTGTGCCACATGCAGGCTCATGGAGATGAAGAGGGGCCAGGCAGATGCTATATGGGGGTCTGGAGGGACAGAGGAACGACCAGAGGGGAGCACAGTCTGATTCTTGGGGCCAGGATGAAGCCCTGGGACTTGAAGGTGCCCCGGAGCATGGGGAGGGTTCAAAGCCATATGGAAGCGAGACCTAGAGTGGCACAGTCGTGTCCAAGCGATGGGCACTTACGGGTGCTTGGTTGGTGCACCAAGGAGGGGAACTTAGCTGAGTCCTAATGATGTGCTTGCTGGTGGCTCTTCCTGTATCATCCTCAGTTGTGGGTTGAGGCTTAGGCCAAGGTTCCTCGGCGAGTGACAGGCAGAGCTGGCTCAAGGCCCCTTCCCCACCCCTCTTCTTTCTGCTTTGACCTCTGGCAGGTGGAGTGTGATGATGCAATCAGCCAGCTGTGAGAGGACTTTAGGGAGGCAGCGTTGTGGTTATGCTGTCCTCTTGTAAGGCTGGCACTGAACTCCTTTAAGGAGATCCCTTTAGGTTCTTCAGAGCCAACTCCAAAGCACCTGTTGCTGGTGTGGCACATAGGATCCTAATTCACAGGTCTTCTGTTCACAGGCTACGGGGCATGGAGTGCTGGACCCACCAACACCCAGGGTAGGTGGAACCTGCTTTGTGGGAGGCATGGGCTCCCGGGACCCCCACTCCAGGCACCAGATTGACAGCTGTTCCTGAGGCTGCACCAGGAGACAGTGGCCTGTAGCCTGGAGAGGCACACAGAGGGTGGGGTGCAGCCCAGGGGCCAGGAAACCTTTCTGTAAAGGGCCAGAGAGTAAATGTTTTGGCTTTGTAGGCTCCATGATCCCTGCAGGACAGAAGATACCATAGACAACTTACAAACAAATGGACATGTCTGTTCCAGTAATACTGACTGAAGGACACTGACGTTCACACACCATATAACTTTTCATGTATCACAATGTAGTCCGTTTCAGCAATCTGTTATTTTAATCTAAGTAAATAGCTGAGTGTATAATCAGAGACTTTTTTTTTTAATCCTCACTGGAAGAGAGAAGAAAGAGAAACATCAATTAGTTGTGTTCCCTGACAGGGAGCGTGGGTGGAACCTGAGACCCTCCAGTGCACAGGCCGACGCTCGAACCACTGACCACACCTCCCAGGGCTATCAGATACTTTTTTAGTTAATGGACTTTATTTCTTTTTTTTTAATATATTTTATTGAGTTTTTACAGAGAGTTAGAAACATCGATCAGGTGCCTCCTGCACACCCCACACTGGGCATATGCCCACAACCAAGGTACATGCCCCTGACCGGAATTGAACCCGGAACCCTTGAGTCCGCAGGCCAACGCTCTATCCACTGAGCCAAACCGGTCAGAGCTGGACTTTATTTCTTAATATATTTTTATTGATTTCAGAGAGGAAAGGAGAGGGAGAAAGATAGAAACACCAATGAGAAAAAAACATCAATGATCGGCTGCCTCCTGCACGCCCCCTACTGGGGATCAAGCCTTCATGTGTCCCAGCTAGGAACTGAACCTGTGACCTCTTGGTTAATAGGTCAGTGCTCAACCAGGGAGCCGTGCCAGCTGGGCTGGACTTTATTTCTTAGTAGTTTTAGATTTATAAGATTAAGCAGGTAGTATGTCGAGTTTCATACACTCAACCTTACCTTCACCTCAACACAGTTATCCCTATTAGCATCTTGCATTAGCAAGATACATTTATTACAGTTAACAAGCCAATGTTGATACACTGTTATTAGCTGTAATCTATAGCTTACATTAATATTTACTCTGTAGTATATAGTTCTATCGGTTTTGACAAGTGTATAAATGATGTGTATCACATCACAAAATATTCTTTTGATTTTTTTTCTTCCTCAACCATTTAAAAATGTGGTTGGCTATACAACAGCTTGCAGTGGGCTAGGTTTGGCCTGGGGCCTGTTGGCTGAACCCTGCTCTGGAGTCCAGATCATGGCACTAAGTGCATTTGACCAAAATGTGCTCTGATTATGAGCTTTTTTGCGGCATCGTCCAGGGATTTGGACGATGGCATCCTTTGTTTTCTGAGCCTGGGATTTGCCCCTGTTACTGCTGGGAGGAGGGTCACTTCTCTGCCCATCACCGAGTGTCCCAGAAAGAGGCCTCCATGTCACTCAGACACATATGTCTTCTTGCTCAGTTGAGTTAGGGACACGATTGTCCACTGTGCGCGCTCCATGTTTTTGGCAGTGCCTGAGCTCTGGCTCCTAGTGAGTGCTGGCACTTTAGAAGCGCTCTGCCTGGGGACGTGGCCATTGGCTTCTTGGCTGGTGGCCCACACTGGATGAGCTGGGGAGGGCTGCAGCGTCCTTTCCATTGCTGTGATGCAGAGACCGGGCTTGCCTAGGGGGGAAGCCCTGATTATGCTTAGCTGAGTGCTATGGAAGAAGTGAGTTTCGTAGTTCCTGGCCTTAGTAGGCAACCACAGTTGCCTCCCAGAGTGCTGCCATGGCACCTGCAACCCTGGCCCGGGGATGGGGAGTGAGGTGACAACTGTCCAATAAAGGGTGTGGGTTGTCTTAGGAGCCTTTGTTCTGCAAGCAAAGCTCTTGTGTGTTCTTGTTTCCTCTCAGGTGCATATGGAACTGGTGTGGCCAGCTGGCAAGGTAGGCCCTTCTGGGGGTCAGTGGGTGGACACGAGGGTCTCTGGTCAGCCATCCAGAGGAGCTGGGATGCAGGGACCCCCATTTCCCTTCCCAACTGTGCTTATATCTCTCCTGAAGGCCTGCATGCCGGGCCTGAGGTGCTGAGGAGGCCTCGCGGGGAACTGGCAGGGGATTGTGGTTGTGTTCTGGGAGCAATATCTCTCTGTTGGATCTGTCAATAGCCCAACTGCCACTCTGGGCTCTCAGCCACCTCTGGCTTTGGATGGGAAGCAAGTCTTAGGATCTGACACTGAAAATCTGCTCAGAATTGAGGTCTCACCTCCACCCTCCTCCTGATGCCCTTAGGAGCTATACAAAGGCAATGTGGTGCTCAGTGTGGGTGATGCAAGCGGCACTTGGTCCCATGACCCTCTTCATTCCCTAATGGCAGTGGTACTCCTCTATAGTGTCCACCCCGGGCTGGCTTTGTGGCGGCTGAGGTCTGACTTGTCTCTTCTTCCCTTTGGCAGGTTATGAAAACTACAATTATTATGGTGCCCAGAACACCAGCGTCACCACAGCAGCAACCTACAGCTACGGCCCAGCCTCCTGGGAAGCCACCAAGGCTGGTGATGGCCTGGGGCCTGGGGGCCCTGCCATACATATGGCTTCTTATGGCCCAGAGCCATGCACTGACAATTCTGACTCGCTCATTGCCAAGATCAACCAACGTCTAGACATGATGTCCAAGGAAGGAGGCAGGGGTGGGAGCAGCACCGGTGGGGAGGGCATGCAGGACCGGGAGAGGTAATTACACACCTGACCCCTTCCCTGGGCATCCAAACATCACGGTTTCGAGGGACAGGGCACCTGCTCTCCCGGGAATGCTCTTCCTCGGTCCCTCCTGAGCATGGGCAGATGAGTTGGGCCTTTGTTGAGATAGAGGCATTGTAATTGGACTTCCTAGTTTCCTCAGTGGCGGGGTTTAGGGCATGGCTGTGGTTAAACTATGCCAGACTCCTGATTTTTGCACCAGGAGCTTAACAGCCGCCCTGTTCTTGTGGCCAATGGCATGTGCCCACATTCATCAGTGTTTGGAGGGGAGTGTTGGTCTATTTCGCCTCCAGGCATTTAGGAGGGGCACGGGTGGTTTGGTTTGCTGTCTTGTTCTGAGTGTAGGGAGGTCAGCTTTGCAGGAGGTGTAGAGATCGAAACCAGAGCATGTAGTCATGGTTGTGCTTTCTTTGCAGTTCCTTCCGCTTCCAGTCATTTGACTCCTACGACTCCAGGCCTTGTCTGCCTGAGCACAATCCCTACCGTCCCAGCTACAGCTACAACTATGACTTTGACCTGGGACCTGACCGCAATGGTGGCTTTGGCAGTCAGTACAGTGACTGTCGGGACCCTGCCCGTGAGCCCCGCTCACTCGATGGCTTCATGCGGGGCCGGGATCAGGGCCGCTTTCAGGACCGAAGCAACGCTGGCACCTTTATGCGCACTGACCCCTTCATGACATCAGCGGCCTCCTCCCAACCACTGTCTGCTCCCTGGACAGAAATGAACTATGTGGGTGGACGGGGCCTGGGAGGCCCCTCTCCCAGCAGGCCCCCACCTTCCCTCTTCTCCCAGTCCATGGCCCCCCAGTCCATGGCCCCCAACTATGGAGTGATGGGCATGCAGGGGGCTGGAGGTTATGACAACTCTGTGCCCTACAGATGTGGCCAGTCACAGACCCGGATGAGGGATCGGGTAAGCCCTTGCAAAGTTCTACCCTGCTTTTCTTTTTAAACAGCTTTATTGAGGTAAAATTTAGAGATTGTGGGATTCACTCATTTTTACGTGTATAATTTGACTTTTAGTAAAAATGTATAGACTTGTGCAACCTTCACCACCATCTAATTTTTGAACATTTCTGTCAACCCAGAAAGAAACTGTTAGCAGTCACTCCATATTTCCTCCCCCAGTCCCTGGCAACCACTAACACCTTTCTGTGCATGGATTTGGATATAACACATGAATACAATGTGTCCTTTTGTGTGTAGCTTTTTACATTCAGCATAACGGTTGTGGGGGGTTAAGCTATGTTGTCTTTCTTTGCCTTCTGAAAAGACCTTGTCCATCTTTGTTCTCTGATCTTATACCCTCTTCATTCTTCATTCCCCTGGGGCAGTGGTCGGCAAACTCATTAGTCAACAGAGCCAAAGACCAACAGTACAACGATTGAAATTTCTTTTGAGAGCCAAATTTTTTAAACTTAAACTGTATAGGTAGGTACATTGTTATTAACTTAATTAGGGCACTTCTAAGGCTTAGGAAGAGCCACACTCAAGGGGCCAAAGAGCCACATGTGGCTCGCGAGCCGCAGTTTGCCGACCACGGCCCTGGTGTATCTTAATGGCCCGGGGAGGTGGTACATCAGGATGTGCTTGTGTCTGTAGCCCAGGTGGAGAGGGTTTGACCGCTGCGGCCCAGATGGCATGGGCAGGAAACGGAAGCAGTTGCAAATCTATGATGAGCCGGATGCCAAACAGGCCCGAGCTGACAGCGAAGGAGATTTTTCCGAAAATGGTATGCCCTGGGGGTGGGATACAGTGAGTTTTCAGTGGGTGTGAGATGAGTTGGTTGCATGCTTAGTGCCTTGCCTGCCTGTCCGTACAGTGGACACGCAGGAACTCAAGGGTGCTGTGTGTCACCCAAACTCCCACCGTCCCCACTGTGGTCAGGATAAGCTTCGTCACTCGACAGTGAGCTTGGGAGGGTGAAAACCGGGCCACTGCTGAGGGGCTAACTTTCCCAATTACTTTTGTGTCTGATAGATGATGGAGCTGGTGACTTCCGGTCAGGAGATGAAGAATTCAGGGGAGTAAGTCCACCTTCACTGGTCCATCTCCTTTGTCTCTAGTGCAGGGTTTCTTCCTTCTTCCTCACAGAGACAGGCACTGCTGCTATGCTAGACTCGCAGCTAGAGTGTTCCACCTGTAACAACCTTGCCTTTCTGAAAAGAATTCCCAGCCCTCCTGCCGAGCTGGTGACTTCCGGTCAGGAGATGAAGAATTCAGGGGAGTAAGTCCACCTTCACTGGTCCATCTCCTTTGTCTCTAGTGCAGGGTTTCTTCCTTCTTCCTCACAGAGACAGGCACTGCTGCTATGCTAGACTCGCAGCTAGAGTGTTCCACCTGTAACAACCTTGCCTTCCTGAAAAGAATTCCCAGCCCTCACAGCTGTTTCTGTGTCGTTACAGTAATGGGCCCAGCTGCACACGTGGTCAGTGCAGTGGCTGTGCAGGTTGAGGCTTCCAAACATGTACTGAAGACTTGCAGCTTCACGCTGGTGCTGAGCTGCATCCGTGTCATTCATTCCTTCCAACCAGTCATGGTAGACAGGTGTTTAAGGTCGGCTCTTAGCATGAGGGGCTGGCGAGTGAACCTTTGCCCCTCACTGTAAATTCTGATCCAATTCTAGGCTAGGGCCCTAGATCTGTGTGTATGAAGGCTTTGTACAGATGCTTCTAATGGTCAAGCCGGTTGGCGGGAGATGGGAGAAGTTGGGTACAATGAGTTTTCAGCTTTTCTGAGGGTCTTGTCCCATGTTTTGCTTCAGTCTTGAGTCTAGGAATCACTGTGTACTTGCTGCTTGGTAATTTAATTGTTGGCTTCATGCCTAAGAAATGGACTCCCTTTCCATTTTCACTTAGATGGTCATTTTTATCCACACCTAATTTTTTACAACCTTTGGTAAATACAAACAGATGGCTGGGAAACTTGGTAAAACCCATTTTCAATAAAGAGCACTGGAAGTAGCATCCTACAAATCAGGGTTTCTTGACATACAGTTTATGAATGGGCTCCTGGCATTCCCATGTGCAGAGCTGTGCAGGTGTACTTTGCCAGAGGCCTTACTTTAGCTTGAGAAAGCTGAAAGAAGGTCAGTGTCTTTAATAAAAAAGCAAAACAGATTAGTCCTCACAGAATCCCAGAAGGCAACCAGTAGTGACAGGACACACTCGGGCTCTGTCCCATAACCCTGGACCTGGTCCTAACACCTTGTGACTAGGTTCCTGGTGGCACAGCAACCACCAGTGGCACACCAGTGGCAGGGGGAGCTAGGCTGGTGTGGAGAGTTGTGGAAACCACCTCACTGCCCAATTTCGTGTGTGTGCTTTTTCAGGAGGACGATTTCTTGGACTCCGGGAGGCAGAGAGGTAGGCATTGCCCATTGTCCCTTTGAACTTTCCTGTGTCTGCCCAGCTGTCCTGCACTCACTGCCCAACACTCAGCTGAGCTGGGTTTCTGAGCAAGCCTGGAGCCTGGATGGAGGGGATGATGGCTCAGGGCAGAAGAGGGGCTGTGATTACGGGGCGAGCTTTGGCCATGGCACTCACCCCAAGACTTTGCTCCATTGTAAATGCAGGCTGTGGAGGGATGGGGCAGCTCACCTGTGGGTGGTGTCTGCAGCCGCTTGAGGGGTCGTGAAGGGAATCTCAGAAATGCGAGAGGAAAAGAAAAGGTGCCCTCCAGCTGTCTTTTCCTTTACCCTGGTCCGTGCAGGTCCCTGTACTGTTCCGGGCTTCGTTATCTCCACAGTTCCTTCGATTGCCTCAGCCTTAATGGTGGGTGGGATTGCTGGCAACTGCAGCATATTGCTGCATGGGACAGAGTTTGGACACCTGCCTGGATTGGGGGCTGAGGGAGGGGGGGAGGCCTGTCAGGTACACCCAGACCCAGATACCCTAGCGGCAGTCATTGCTCACTGCTCAGCAGGCCCCGTCACTTCCAGTGCCAAAGACTTAAGGGTACAAATTTAGTGGCAAAAGCAAAGCCAAATTAAACCTCTTGGGGTGAGGAGGGGGCATGGAGAAGCAGCCTGGGACATGGTGGCCTTGAGCTTACCCAAAAGCCACTTTTCCTATTCCCGTGGGTCTTGTAGCTGGTTTTCCCCAAGAATCACAGGCTGGTTCTGCTCCTGTCAATTCTGAAGGCCCCTGGCTTAGCTGCTTCTTCCCTTATGTGTTCAGGTCTAGCCAACCCTCTGAGGTCTTCTCACTCTGTTTATTTATTGAAGCGATCATGTCTGTAGCATGGGACCACACAACACTGAGCAGCTCGTGCAGCGGGGAAAATGCTAAAGCAAAGGTGACATGTTTATTGCGTGCAGGTCCTGCTACCTACCCTGGATGACTTTGCTCTTAAACAGCAGTAATAGTTTCAGGCAGTGACCTCTTGCCAAAAATCCCACACGCCCTTTTGAGAGGCTTCTGAGCAGCGCACGCCGGTCGCCATCTTCGTGGGACAGTCTCGTGACTGGCATCAGGGGTAGGGGTTACAGTTCAGATGCTTATCCAACCTTTTTTCAGTGTCTGGCCCTGCTCTGAGCCACGGTAACCTGCCCTGGCCTCACGCTGGGACACTGGGCTGGCCCCAGGAGATGGATGGAGGACCGATAGGTCTCTTCCTACTTCTCTTTCTAGGATTGCTTCCCATATAGCCCTGGGAAAGCCCTAGAGTGACAGTTTTCATGAGTGGAAGATACAGTTCGGGCCAGCAAGGACTGACAGACCTGCTGAGGCCCTAGTTCAGAGGAGGCCTACGGGATGGTTGTCCTGGTCCACCTAGAGGTGGGACGGGGAGGTAGAACAGCTTTATTTTCTGAGGCTTCTAGCTGCTGCCTCTTTACCTAGGAAGAACTACGCTCTTAACTGATGTTGGAAACGCAGGCTAGGGAAGACCAGAGATCAGGTGGGCCTCAGTGTGAGTGGGATGGGGGGGCCGTGTCCCTGGCCCATCCCAGCCTTATTAAGCCATGGGGGGTGTGAGGTGTCTCCCCTGGGAACACCCCAGGGTTCTCATCCAAGCTCATATGTGGGCACCTTTGACAGTCCCTGGTGCCTCAGGGTGTCCTGACCCTGCCGTGTGTGGAGGCAGCAGCAGGGCACAGGGCGCAGTGGCCGAGCTGCAGCCCCATCGAGGCCCTGGTGCTTAGCTCCTCTGTGGGCTCTACAGAGGGTCTTGAAGGGATTTCTCTGTTGCAGAGAAGGATGACGAGGATGATGAAGCGAAGAAGAGGAAGGAAAAGCAAAGGAGAAGAGACAGGTTGCGAGACCGAGCAGCTGACAGGTGAGGTGGCAGGTCAGCTGGACCCGGGCACTGTCAAGGCTCTTCTAAGCTCGTCGGTTCCTACCCCGGGACGCAGGCAGAGCCTGGTGTGAGCTGACCAGGTGTCTGCGGGAGGGCCTAGGCAGAGTGGTGGGAGACAGAACTTGAGGAACCATATTCTTGCCAGAGGTCCCTGTGGCCCTCATGTGCCGCCCCAGACGTTCTATTACCCTTTCCCATACCCCTGGGGAGTTTCCTTGTTCCCCGGCCTGTGTCTGTCATCCAAAACTGATCTTCATCAAGCAGAGCTGCTAAGGAGGTGATCTGGTGTGTTGTCCCAATCCAGACTCCAAATCTGGAGTTTGATTTACCAATTATACGTGTATCGATGTTACCTTTTGTGCCGAGCAAGCTCAGCCAAGGGTTCGCAAGCCTGAGTGAGGGCAGTGAAGGGATGAAGAAATGACAAAGAGAATAAGCTGGGTCTAGGTGGATCTTCTTGTGCCTGGCTGAGGCCACAGAGAGAGATCCAGAAGCAAGCTGAGCCTTTATTTTATAGTCAGAGGTAAACAAGGTAGTGGTCACCATGGTTACAATGTTCTTGTGAGTTTCACTTGTTTGGGCAGCACTTGCTGCCCTCCCATAGTCCATTAGCTTCCCAGGAAGGACCTAGGAAGCGTCATAAGGTCAAGCCTAATTATGCTAAGAGGACTGTGCCCTCTAAGCTGGGACTTGTTTGTGGCTTTGCCAACAGGTCAGTCTGAGGCTTAACCCTGTAGCCGTGCCCTACAACCTGTAAATAGAAAAAAACAGCACAAAAACGCAAAGCCCAAAGAATGTTGGTGTGACCACACCGTGGACTTCTCTCCCTGTTCAGTGGTTATGTGGCTGCTGACGAGAAAAGCGAACCACTGGTGGCCATGGGAGCCCTTGGTTGCCAAGGACTTAACCACATGGCTGCTTCTCTGTGCACAGGTTCTCTTAATGACTTGAGGGGGACTCCTTGCTCTTAGGCTCACCGGGGGCGGTGTTTTCCTGTGCAAAGAATACTCACCAAAAGGAGTAACAGAGACAGGAACTGAAATGTAGGAGCTTTCAGGTGTTACAAGAATTCATCAAAACCCTTGTAAAGGCCTAGCATGTTGCGCAGTGGTTAGAACATCGGCCCTTAGACTGGAGGGTCTTGGGCTCGATTCTGGGCAAGACTCCATCCTGGCCCCGGTCGGGGCACGTGTCAGAGGCAACCAGTCGATGTGTCTCTCTCACATTGGTATTTCTGTCTCTATCTCTCCCTTCCCTTCGACTCTCTCTAAAAATAAAAATAGGAAAAATATCCTCAGAGGAGAATTAACAACAAAAAATCCTCGTTAAATAGATGAGTAAATAGGTGATGGCTAGAGTTGATCTATTTACGTGCCACACGAGAACTTAGATGACATTTTTTAAAAAGAATCTTTAAATGCTGCTTTAGTGATGGTTCTAGAGCAATTATCAATTGTTGGAGCAGTTATTACAGAGGAGGTGGAGATACAGCCAGGAAACATATTCCTTTCATTTTTTCTTTTTTTTTTTGATTCTTTTTTTTTTTATGAAATCTTTATTGTTCAGATTATTACATGTGTTCCTCTTTTTTTCCCCCCGTAGCTCCCCTCCACCCAGTTCCCACCCAACCCGCTGCCCTTACCCCCCCCATTGTCCTCATCCATGGGTGCACAATTTTTGTCCAGTCTCTTCCCACACCCCCCCCAGACCCCTTTCTCCCCCTAAGAATAGTGAGTCCATTCCCTTTCTATGTCCCTGATTCTATTATAATCAACAGTTCATTCTGTTCATCAGATTATTTATTAAC